AATCGAACCGAACCGACCCACGAACAGTCCTAAGTAGATTTGTTTTATCCTCTTTTTCTAGCCTATAAAAATATGTAAAATATTTGTCACCTTCGCCTGTTAAATTAACTTGATACAACGTAGTTAACGTATGTTTAAAATATGACACAAATATCGTCATTTTAAAAAATTATGAAGGCGTGTAAATGAATATAGACGCCATGGTGACCACCATTCAAATTAGTTGTGATTCTCGTTGACATGTATGGCACTGGTCCTACGTTATTGTTTTCCATTTTCAATCGCCTATGCAATACACAAATTTAGCTTTAAAATGACGATAAATAAACTTTTGGCATGAAAAACGATTTTTTATAGTATTGAGTAATAGTTACATAACACATCAATTGATTGGGGGTATTGAAGCAAGTGATACTCAAATCCTTTTAGGGGTTGTTCTATATAAGCTCAATAAACACGTAGAAAAATGGCATTGGACTGGGTTAGTTTCGAGTTTGAGGTGGCTTCGGTTGTAATTGGAGTGACTGGTGGTGCTTGGAGGCGAAAAACTCGATTCAAATAGAATTCACGGTGTCACTGATGGTGAATGGCTGAAATAGAAAAAATAATGATTTTCTTAGAATAATTTGGACTAACGAATTATAAAAGTTAAAACTTTTAAAAACTATACGTGACCCCCCAGGCCACCCCCTACGTCCGCCCCTGAGATGATGTATCTAGTTCTATCAATTATGGTGTGTGTACAATAAAAGTTCAAGGTTAAAAGGAAGAAATTTTGTATCGGATGCCTGAAGGATAGGTTGATGCACCTCAAATTGCCTCGGAAATTTTACTTCGCCGCCTCTATTATTTGTTATATTCTAATGGGAAAATTTCATTCTAATATAATATAATTAATCTATCCCACCTCCACCACCCCTATTGCTCCGGGGACTATTCCGGCAACCGTTCCGACCACCACTCCTCCGGCGACTTTTTCGGAGACCGTTTCGATGACTGCTCCGATTCCGAGAATTATTCTGGCGACTATTCTGGCGACCGTCACAGATTTACAATTTAGTTAGTCACAAATTATTTTTCGATCTCAAATCATAATTTTTTACGTTACAAATTATTTTTCGATCACAGCTCAAAAATTGTGTAGGTCACAATTTGTTTATCGGTCACGGATCAAAAAATTTGTAGGCCACGAATTATTTTGAAGTCACAAATCAATAGTTTTATAGGTCACATATTATTTTATTGGTCACGGATCCAAAAATTACAAGTCACAGTTATCTATCAGTCATATATTTTCAAATTTATTGGTCACAGATTAATTTTTAGTCACAATTTTAAGGTCACAGTTAGATTTTTTTTATGACCACCCCCGAGACCACCAGCGACTTCTGTGACCACCCCCATGACCATCACCGCCGTTGTCGCTAGAACCAACAGCACCACCCCCGTGACCACCACCGACTTCTATGACCACCCCTGTGACCACCACCGACTTCTGTGACCACCCTCGTGACCACCACCTCAACATTGCCACCTACCGCATCACCGCCTCTACCAACACCGCCATTGCCAACAACCACACAAATCATCCACCGCAAAACCACTTCACCATCGCCACCACCACCAACATCACCAAATCCACCTGCACCATCACCAACAAAAAAAAACCCCAAAAACCATTTCCACCACCAACCACAAAACCACAGATCCACAATCACCAACCACAAAATCACAGATCAACAATCAGTGTAAAACCCTAAACCAAAACCACCACCACCATCACCAACACCGCATCCGCCATCACTAACTAACAATCACCAGAGACGAAGAGAGACGGGATAACAATGAGGGAGAGGCATCGTTGTGAACACCGCTTCATTTTCAAATCCACCGTCCATCATCCCCAAAAACCCGGCGCTCGTCGCTTCTGTGATGACGCCGGCGGTGGGGAGAGAGTGAGGCTTCCCGATGGGGCAGAGAGAAAGAGGTTCCGATGGTGCGGTGTCGACGACAGGGTGGTGTAGGGAGAGAGAGTGAAGGCGACGATCGATTTGCATAGAGAGACGGTAGCTATGAAGAGAGAGAGAGAGAGAGATGATAGATTGAAATTAGGGTTTGTTAATTGTAATGTGTATATCTGATTTTGGAAATGTGAAACTTTCATCCTGATTTTGGAAATGTGAATACATGAACTATGGTTTTGTGTAATTTTCACTATTCTAATTTAGTTGCTCAAAATTAATTGTAATGTGTATATCTGATTTTTGAATTGTGAAACTTTCTTCCTGATTGTGGAAATGTGAATACATGAACTATGGTTTTGTGTAATTTTCTCTATTCTAATTTAGTTGCTCAAATTCGAGTTTTTAGTGAAGAATCAATCCTAATATTAGTAGGTAGCGTTTCCAGAAAGTAAAAGTCGGTGAGCTTGAATTTCTCAAATTCGAACACCTTCTCTTTATAGACAAGTCATAATTATCACTCTTAACTACTCTAATCTTCTTGAGTTGGTATGAAATATAATCTTCCACAGTTTATCGTCTTAATTCATTCACTTCTGTGTCCCTGTTCATTTTACGTTAGGCAGATGTCAAAGTAAAACTGTAATGCAATTCAAAATAATACAAAAAAAAAAAAGGAAATACCTTAATATCTTCATTATAAGTTTCATAATGTACGATCACCCAATGGCAAGTTGGCAACTCAATATTTTCTTGAATTTTTTTTCTATAAATACACGGACTCGGCTGTATTAAGAACATCAAAGTCTCATCACGGGTTGCGTTCATAAATATCAAAGATTCAAAGAAAATTCTTGAAAAATGGCTGAGAAAAGCAAGATTTTAATTATTGGAGGAACTGGGTACATCGGAAAATTCATAGTCGAAGCTAGTGCAAAATCTGGGCACCCCACTTTTGCTCTTGCTAGAGAGAGCACAATTTCTGACCCTATTAAGGGCAAAATCTTTGAGGGCTTCAAGAATTATGGCGTCACAATACTAATTGTATGTATATGTAAAAAAATTTGCAGTCAAATTTATTCATCTCTGTTTTGTGTCTGTTGGGTATGAATTTAATTTTGTGTGGATGATGATTTTGGGATTTGTTGTGTGAAAATTCACAGGGTGATTTATACGATCATGAGAGCTTGGTGAAGGCTATAAAGCAGGTGGATGTTGTTATATCGACGGTGGGGCAACTTCAGTTAGCCGATCAAACTAAGATCATTGCTGCCATTAAAGAAGCTGGAAATGTTAAGGTTGGTATTTTTGGTTTGTCCTGTTTTCTTTAGTCATAGATCTAGCAATGAACTGAACAGAGTCGGGAAGAAAAAAGTATTCTTGTAGCCAACTCTGGAACTAGACTTGGTTTGTTGTTGTTGAATTACCTGATTTTTGCTGTGTTTTGACATTTAGAGTTGATTTAGATGCTTTAGAAAATATCTTCAGTAAAATAGGCTCATATCTGATAGTTGAAGACCAAATTTTACTTTCCTGGTGGATCCAGGATCCTTGTCCAGGGAATGAAATTTGAGATGGGAAATTCCTGATATCCAATTTGGGATATTCAAAACTTCAATTTCATCAAAGAAATAATGTCAAATATCTGATTTCCCTGGTGACTAGATTCAATTAATTCCAAGAATTTGTCATTATCATGTCTATATATATTTCGATGGTGAGAGACAAATAGTCCTCTAACTGATAGTTAATTAATTTATATATTGTTTTTCTTTGAATTTTCCAGAGGTTCTTTCCCTCGGAGTTTGGCAATGATGTAGATCGTACTCGTGCTGTAGAGCCAGCAAAGTCTACATTTGCAGTCAAGGCCCAAATCCGCAGAACCATCGAGGCAGAAGGGATTCCTTACACCTATGTGTCTTCCAACTACTTTGCTGGCTACTCTCTTCCAACATTGGTACAGCCGGGAGTCACTGCTCCTCCAAGAGACAAAGTAATCATACTAGGAGATGGAAACGCCAAAGGTACTTAACATCAAACTTAAAACTTTGCCGAGAAAACTCAAAACTTGACTTAAGAAGTGTTTAATAGAGAATGTATAGTAGTTTTATAAAACATTATGCACTTATGACTGCTGAATGATGTTTAGTGCTGACTTAACTAACTTTAGAACTGTTGAATCTCTATTGTAAAGCATAAACTATTACTTGCCTTGATATCCTATGTCCTTCCTCTTGTATTACTAAAAGGCTGTATCAAACAATGTGGCAGTAGGGATCAACTTCAATAACTTACTTCAAACTTGTTTAATGACATTACTCGAAGAAAATTATGCATATCTCATCTTTACATTCTTCTTTTTTCCCCCTTGCCTTATTTATTTGCAGCTGTCTTCAATTACGAAGAAGATATTGGCACCTACACCATCAAGGCTGTTGACGACCCGAGAACATTGAACAAGATCCTTTACATCAAGCCTTCTAAGAACATATATTCATTCAACGAACTCGTTGCTTTGTGGGAGAAAAAGATTGGGAAAACTCTGGAGAAAGAGTATGTTTCTGAGGAACAACTTTTGAAACAAATCCAAGGTATGCATAATCTTTTCGTTGAATTCTTCATCGGTGCTTTATGAAAAATTGAATCGAGTCATTTTGTTTATATAGACTTAAATGCCTGTGCTTTTATTAATCTCATTGTTCTCATACATCATTGCAGAAGCTCCTATCCCTGTCAATGTCATACTTGCAATCAACCATTCAACCTTCGTGAAAGGTGACCAGACCTATTTTGAGATCGAGCCATCATTCGGGGTTGAGGCTTCAAAGCTCTATCCAGATGTCAAATACACCACTGTCGAGGAGTATCTTGATCAATTTGTGTGAGATGCGAGAAGTATACCTTAATAAACTAGTCTGAGATGTGAACTCTATGAAATGTATTTGATCTTCAGTTGTTCTGTAACTTTGTTTTGTGATGCTATGAGTTTTACTTGAATAAACTAGTACAAGATCTTATTGTTGAACCGTCTTGTTTGAACGCTTTAAAAGACGAATTACTTCGATTCATCGTTTCGTCTAAAAGCACAACTTTCTTAAAGGAACAACACAATGATTCAGCTTTGTCCCACGTTGAGTGAAACTTAATCCAAGTTTCCAAACTCATTATGCTGAGTTGGGATAAGTTTGCTGCTTTAATCAATTGAATTATTTGGTGTTGATTGATGACTATTTGGCAGTATTCCTGTGGTACAGTGTTGTGGTTCAAATTTCCACTTCCACTATCAAACTACATGATGGGTGAGCCAATTGAATTTTATGCTTTGACGCATGTCATTGTTAGGTGCCATGCGCTTTAGTTGTCGGCCACACGTTGGATAAGGATGTAACAGTGATAAGACTATTTTTGTGCTAATTAAATTATAATAAACTTACATGATATATAAGGTTGATAGTGTCTGTTAAATTTTGAAGCCCAATTATTATCACTGTGCAGAACCAACATGCAAAGCCTAATTACATTCAACTGATTAATAGTGACATACGATGACAGAATTGTCTTAATAAATCACACACTTCCAGAAGTTAATCACATACGCTTGTCGTGCATATTACATTCATTTGTAAGTTTAAACAAGTTGCGTACTTGCATACTTTGAATATATGTTTTGAGATCAATAATCCAAGAAGAGTTTCGAGTTCTAAACGAACAAAATACAAAGTCTACATCATTCCAGTCGAACGCGTTTAACATGTACTGCCAACTTCAGTCTATTCGGTGAACCTTTGCACCTTCAGCAGACTTCTTCCCAGCATAGCTCTGTTCAAATGTGTTTTATAGAGAAGGGCAGTCATTATATACAATTTTCAAGATACATGAAGGAAGTAGAAGATAAACTGTAAAGTTCTTAAGCAATTTACAAAATAAAGCTCTTACCTGCTTGCCAATGTTGAATGGAATGTATCTGTACTTGATCATGTGTGTAATTTGACGTTTCATAGTGAGGATAAATAGAAAAACCCAGAAAAATAATAAGGTGGGCCAGTATACTGGGACGTCCAATACAGAAAACAAGGTCATTAAAAAGGCAACACAAAAAGCTTTTGTTATTGCATACCTGAAACAATACGACGAAAGGTAAACAGAAGTCTGTAAGGTAAAAGAAAAGCAAAAAGGAGAAGAGAAACAACTCCCAAAAGTGTAAGATGATGAATGCACGGACACTTAGCAGATTTTTCCAGTTGAACAATTTTTAATTCAAGTTCCTACAACGAACGGGGTATTATACCTTGGTTAACAAACATTGAAAGCGCATCAATCCCTGTTCTCCTCTCTTATTCTCCTTTTCCCACATATTTGAGGCAACATTTGGTTTGGATTTTGTAAATTACAACTATTCAATTAATCGGTTATAAAAAATGTAAAGCAATCAAATATTTTGGGCTTTGTGAATATTAATAATTTTATCGACTGTTATCATCCTAAACAGCCAACTATATAAATTGTAGAAGTTACTCAATCAACTAACAAATCCAAACCAAACAGTCATGCCCAGTGATTATGGAATCAGGGAGGATTGAGTAAAAAAAAAAAAATTTATGTCAAACTTCTTGTTTTGTTATCCGTATCCAGATTTTTCAAGCTGACATCCTGGAAAGACCACGGCGAATATAGACTCTTAACTCTTCAATCACCAGTTAGACCAGATGTAGATATTTCAATCTCATGTTTCCATGTTACTAGATTTGAATGAATACTTTTCAATCTTGTTCTTACTGCATATAATAAAAACAACCAAAACTTCTGTTTCAAGAATGTACATAATATAGAGAGACATAATATGTAACAATAAGGACAACTGCATTAGTAAGTACAGAAACTAATGAACTGCCAACATGTAAATACTCCTCAGAAATTTATAAAAGTGAAACTACACACTTTGTGATTCACTTCACTAGCCAAGTATTAAGTAGTAAATTAGAATGCAGTCACAAACTTTTAAGAGTTGTTACCAATCTGAACATGGACCAAAAGATAGTACCAATATGTGATGCGAATATCAAGACCTATTTTATTGTTGATTTTTATTAATTATGTTTTTATTATTATTGGACTTGTAGTGGTGGGATGGCCCAAATTCGTCACTAGATTAGGTTTTTTACTATTTATTAGATATTTTCATTGTTGATGAGTTGGACGATGAATGAATGAAAATTAAGTTTTGACTTGTTGCCACGTTTTCCTCCCATACTTCTTCCCTTTCCCTGGTTTCTTCTCCTGTTTCTCCCTCCTTTCTCTCCGGTGTCTTTATCCACTCGACATGGTCGAGTTTTCTCCCTCCGGGAAAGTTGATGCGGATATCACGATCTATTTTATTATTGATTTTTATTATTTATGTTTTTTTTATTATTATTGGACTTATAGTAGTAAGTTGACCCAAACCCGTCACTAATAGATTAGGTTTTTACTATTTATTGGATATTTTCATTGTTGATGAGTTAGACGATGAATGAATGAAAATTAAGTTTTGGCTTGTTGCCACGTTTTCCTCCCCTACTTCTCCCATTTCCCTGATTTCTTCTCCGGTTTCTCCCTCCTTTCTCTCCGAACTCTTTCCCCATTCTTGCTACTTTCTCCTATCCTACATCAAATTTGGTATCAGAGCTAAACCTGGATTCAACAATCCAACTGAAGGACTCCCAACCCCTTCACCGGTCTACTTATCTGTTACCCATACAACCTAGCCGGCATCACCACATATAACCACCGTCCAAACTGCAAACCACCAACTAACCACTTGCACAGCCTCCACAATTCACACGGTTTGGACTAAAGGTATGTTTTGCCACTACACATACTCTGCCATTTACACAAATAATTGGGATGCTTAACCAACTTCTATCATGTTTTCCAAAACGCCAAATTTATGTAATTGCTAACAATTTCTTCTCGGCTTCATGAGGAGTACAACACCTTCTCTGCATCTGCTAACCCCCACAACCAACACTCAACCTAACATGCTACTCCATTCGCCTCCTCCAAACTCGACCCAATCACCCAAGATTCATCTTCTCTACACTGTCGACCACTTCCACAATCGCGAAGTACCCACTACAACCTCCACTAAGTCCACCACCATCAAATCTTGCCACTAACAAGGTCAAAGCACTGAACACCAAAATAATACCTTGAGCCACCACAGCTTTCAACCCCATATGTAAGCCCAAACCTACTGCCACCAAATAAAAAAAAAAACAAAAAAAAAAAAAAACAGAGACTCAAATCCACAGTCGCACAACACCGTAGCCAAAATCAACAATCGGCCTCAACCCGCTACCAACCAACACCTAACTCACAACGCACCGTCGCCGCTTATACAGCCAAGTCGACCCAGTGCCTTCTCACATCTCCAACCCAAATTCAGTCACCGGTGAAGTGGATGTGTTTCTTTACTGGGTACTTCTTTCCATTTGGGCCTACTTATAAATTCGGGCCCTGGTGTTTCTTTTAATTTGGGCCTACTTATAACTTTGGGCCTGCTTAAGTTGGTAATATTGGGCCTTGGTTTGGGCTCTGCCTGTTATTGGTTTTAAGTTTTCAATTTGGGCCTCTGCTTATTAATTTGTTTTAGTTTTAAAGTTAGGCCTCCTTGTTCAATTGTTTTAGTGTAAAAAAAGAAAAAAGTGTGGAAAAAAAAAAAAATTTCTAACGTTTTTTTAGGGATATCTTAACATGTTGGTTGGCTCGGTACTTTGACAATCTTGTTGGTTGGCTCGTTTACTTCGACGAATTGGTTGATTGGCTCGGCTACTTCAACAAACAAATGGGAGTTTCTATTTTATTTATCATTGGTTTATATTACTATTTATTTTAAAATTGCATCGATTAATTTTTTTGTGCTGCTATTATTCTAATTTTACCTAAAGTTTACGTGATCAAATCCTTTGAATTGTTCAATTCCCATTTTACCCCACATTTTATGTGATAGAATTTTTGACTAGTATTTGACCCCTGCTTTGCAATTTTACATGTATCAGCAATGTTAGCTTGTCATATTTGAATTTACATAATCCAAAAAATATATATATATACACTTCATTTCATTCACTGCATACAGTTGCATAGTGATCGTTTTGTCTAATCTAGCTCAAGTACACTTCATTTAGCTGGTAGTATGTTGCATGTAGTTGCGTAGTAGTCGTCTTATCATATCTAGTTCCAATAACATGTCCATGGACTCATCCCAATTTGATGCCCTCACTAGACAATTAGCACAACTTGCCACAACCAACCACAATTCCAAGCTCAATTAGCGGCAGTCTAAACTGAGATGACTGTTAATCTTGAAAAGAATAGGAGCCTAGCTGTTGGTCTAAACAAGTTTAAGCAAATCCCTCATTCGACTGATGTTGAAAATTTTGAAGTGTCCTATAATAGACAAAATCATTGTCAACAAGGTGATCAAAAATATTTTCGACACGAACGTAGGGATAGAGTTCAGGTTCATGAGCAAAAACGAGGTTATGACCGTCACAATACTCATTCTCTTCCACGCCATAAGGAGCGTTCCTTTACAAACATTAAAATAGGTGTTTCTACTTTTGATAGTTGCTTAGATTTTGAATTTTTTACTCAATGGACTGCCCTTAAACAAGAGAATCGGTTAGTGACTAAGTATATTGCTAAATTTGAGGAATTTCGAATGAAATGTCATGTCATTGAGGATGAGGCCCTGACTTTCAGTAGGTTTAATCAAGGTCTAAGGGTACAATTTCTGAAATTCCAAGGACTTTTTCTCACTTGCAGTGCTTTAACTGTAAGGATTTTGGCCACATCTCTTCCAAATATCCTAGCTGAGCCTTAGTCATGGAAGAACGAAAGAATATAATAGATGAGCGATTAGAGGATCAAGTCTATGAACCTAAACTTGAAGAATTTGATGACTTTGATAATAGTTAGAACACCTCCTTTGGTAGTATTCAGACTTTTCCTAGGAATCTACGTATTGTACCCCTTGGTCCCGATACCTCTCGGTCAAGTGTTGTATGTCGTACCATTTTCCAACCCAAAGGTACTCTTGATTTGTGTCATCATGCCATTTTCAAGGAAAATATTGGGAATCGGGATTTGATTCTCGCAACAGTTCAGCTTACATATAATAATTCTGTGAATCGGTCTATAAGTATGAGTCCCTTTGAAGTTATTCATGGTTATGAGCCTAGGAAGTTTTTAGACCTTATTCCCAAGTCCCCACACGCTAATATGTCTATGTCAGCTGCGGTAGTTGTACCACATCTTCATGCCTTACATATTGAGATCAATAGGCTTGAAGCAAGTAATACATCATATAAACTTCGAGCTGATTTGCATAAACGATATTTTGAATTTAATATTGTGGATTATGTTATATTGCAAGCCCATAGTTCTGATCCTTATAAAATTTTAAAGTATGTTGGTTCAAATACATATGTCATTGATCTTTTATCACATTCTGGCGACCACCCTACTTTACCTATTGAGAATTTCATTACTTACAAACACCGTTTCAATTCATTTGATGATCATTTTCTATTTAGCTCTATGGACACCCAACCTGCCAATGATCTTTCTACTTCAATACCATTTACAGCACACAAAGACACAATTGATAGTATTTTAGATGAACATGTTGTATTGATCAATGATGACGAAATTCAGTACTTCTTTGTTTGTTAGGTCGACCCACCTAATTCTAATTGCCCATGGATTCTCAGAAAGAAACTTCAGCAACATGATCTACATTCATTCAAACTTTATAGGAGCCAGCAAGATCTTCCTACATCCAGGTCACCATGGTCAGATCATATTTTTAGGGATAATTTGCAACTGGCGTTGGCATCATTTGTTGAGTTTCGATATTTGGTTCTTACGAAAGATCGTCCCCCGAAGAAGAAGTTTATCCACTTGACAGGGTCAAGTTTTCTCCCACAACGGGAGAGTTGATGCGGATATCACAATCTATTTTATTGTTGATTTTTATTAATTATGTTTTTATTATTATTGGATCTGTAGTAGTGAGTTGGCCCAAACCCGTCACTAGTAGATTGAGTTTTTACTATTTATTGAATATTTTCATTGTTGATGAGTTAGACGATGAATGAATGAAAATTAAGTTTTTGCTTGTTACCACATTTTCCTCCCCTACTTCTCCCATTTCCCTGATTTCTTCTCCGGTTTCTCCCTCCTTTCTCTCAGGTTTCTTTCCCCACTCCTGCTACCTTCTCCTATCCTACATCAATATGACTAGAAACTCAATTTTGAGCACATTTAGCTAAGATTAGAAGTAAACTTATGAATCATGCTATCTAGCACCAGTATATGTGATAGAAAAGTTACTGTCCACAATTTTTTTTAAAAAAATTTACAATTGATAACCAATAGTAGACAGGAAAACCACTGCCACATAGACTGGTGCATCTTGCTGAATGTAACTTTCGCTACGTTACTTTATTCTATTTTTCAGTAAGGATTTCTCATTTTAAAAGTAACTCTCTCACTACAAAATAAGTAATTTACTTATTCCCAACTTTGACTAAATATTTAACCTAGAACTTAATTATTTACTTCTAAGAACATTGTTTTAAGTTTGGCCAAACACGTTCCTAGTCTAACAAAGAATGTGTAATGTTATATTAGTCGCTAATTGTTGTTGATGAGACAAGCATGAGAACTGTGGCGTAAACATAATTATAAAAAACTTGTCCATGCCATATAGATCTCACCAGAACTTGAATTCAGGCAGTCGACGAATAAAGGGTCTGAATTCATCAGAGCCTTTAGTTGGCAATGAAGCTCCATCTAGGGCTTCAAGCTCCGGATCAACCTTAGGGGACATAAATTCAATCAGCAAATTCAAGATATAGATTCCTAGACCATACGAGACCACATAGAACCCCTGTGCATAATAAACACGCAAGACATAAACTGCTGCAGCAGCGAGCGTTCCAAACCACCGTCGAGTTATATGAGGAGCAGATCTGTCCAAATAATACCGGAAAGCTCTTGAAAAGGCATTTCTCCACTTGGCTAGTGGTGTCACAGGGGACGCATTATCACCCACAACATCTTCCATTGTGATCAGTCCAAACCTTTCCTGTAAATCAAATATAACCATCGAAATTGCTTGTTAATAAAGTAAAGGGTAAATAGACTAAAAAGATGTTTATGAATTTCTACCGTGTTTAATGCACACAAACTTTAGTAAATCAGTTGCCAACATGGATACCAGAAGTGAATCTTTCATTAGTCAAATAATTTATACTGGAAAAATCATCCGCGTAAAGTTCTTAACGAACAGGAAAGCAACGCAAAACGTGAAAAAATTAATTTCCCAAGAAACAAAATTGAAAAGTTTAGAAGATATTGATGCGTTTTCAGCTTTAGATCATTTTACCAGATTAACATAGAACAAATTAATCAAATCACTTCTAACATTTGGAAGCTTACCTGTTATCATACCAAAATCGGTTATTTTCTTCAAGGAAATCATAAAATTTGATTTTTCTATCACTAGGACTTCTAATCGTACGAGCTTGATAACTTGAACTCTTCAATCTTCAACTATTGGTTCGATTATTTGAAATAACAAGCTAATTGTAAAACAGAATTCGGCAAGTTAACCACAAATAAATTATACATACATACGGAAACATACACACAGAAATACAAGCATAAATAGTATAGATACACAGACAGAGGAAAAAGGACCAGGGAAACAAACCTAAATTTAGGGATACGAAAAATCCGATTAAGAAATCAAACGATTCCAGGAGGATCTTACGGTATTGCCGCCGCTACTTTAGTCTATAACACTTCGATTTTGATCTGGGAGATTTAGTAATTTTATGAGGGTTAAATTAAATTCACTGGTGCCATTCACCTTTACAGTTGTCATCCACACACAATTTGATTTTATTTTATCAAAACCATTCAATTTCATATACTTTTTACAAGGACCATCCAATTTAATGTAACATACTATCACGACCATTCAATTTTTTTTTACCATTTTCATTAATTTTAAAAGGAATAAAACGGTAACTTCACATTATATATATAAAATAAATTTTTAAAAAATTAAAAAAAAACTTATTTAAAAAAAATTAAAACGTTTATTTTAAAGTAAGTTTTTATTTTATTTTATTTTTTAAATAATTTTTTATTTTATTTTGAAAATTTATTTTTAAATAAATTTTTATTTTATTTTATTTTATTTTTTTAAGTAACTTATTTTTAAAATAAATTAAGTTTTTATTTTATTTTTTTTACATAAGTTGTTATTTTAATTTTTTAATTTATTTTTTATATATAATGCAAAATTACCGTTTTATCCCTTTTAAAATTAATGAAAATAGTAAAAATGAGTTGAGTAGTCAAGGTAAAATGTTATATAAAATTGTGTGGTCATAGTGAAACGTTATATGAAATTGGATGACCTTGATGAAATAAAATAAAATTGGGTGGTCATGATGACATTAAGTATAAAATTGAGTAGACATCGTGACACAAAATCAAATTGGGTGACCGTGATGACACCAACTATAAATTTGGATGGCACCAGTGAATATAACCCAATTTTATGAAGAACAAATTGCATTATTTGTCCTCGACTTTGGTCTAGTAGTAAATTGGTCTCCCCCTTTTGAAAAATAGAAAGTTAATATTCAACATTTTATTATAGCTACACAATCAGTTCACGATGATACAAATCATCTGAATCTCTATTAAATAACTATTGATATCCTCACACATCCAATTATAAACTCTAGGGATGTTAAGTGTCACGGAACACGCGACCAAATCAAGTATATTCCAATTATCGAAGTTATCTAACGCCCTAACTTGTGTTTCGTAGATACAGTTACCCTTCCATCCTTGTACTTCATTAAAATCGTAATCATTGTCAAACGTTTATTTGTATCGCAATAGATTTATATTGTCATATATAAGCCTTTTTCGACATTAAGGAGTATATTAAAAAGTATACAAATAAGTTACTTGGAAAATATATATAACCTCGAAATTAGTCCTTCATAAGTTTCTACTTACAGTTCTAGGAAAGGATAATTACACAGAAAGCGCTCATTTTTATTCAAATACCTTCATCACGCAATAATACTTTTTTAAAAAAAATTGATTCTTTATTGATAATTATCACAAGACCCCTCAAACTTATATTTTGTAATTTTTTTTAATCATTTTCAAATATGTCCAACAACAACTTAGATCATTACAGCACATTGATCCTAAACAATTTTTTCTGAACTTAAAATGAGAAGAGAAGACCACATATGGCAATCAATACCAATGACTGAACTGAAAAAGAAGCCCTATCCTTTTCTTCTGATATAGAAACTTGGCTGGTCAATCATTGTTGTGAAAGTAAGACTCTGACATGTAATCATTTCGCAGCTTTCCATCCATTTTCTTGTCTAAGGGGCTAACGGCCTTCCTCTTACGATTGGCTGACCTTGGTGACTGATATCCCCCGTCGATATCATCAAATGGTTCGACTTCCCCTTCTTCTACAGTGTGAAAATCATCCGCATGCCCATCTCCAGATGCGCGATGATAGTTCCCGTGCTCTGACTTATTTGAAGGTTTGGACCAGCTATGTTTTCTCTCTCGCTTAATCTTCTCTCTCTCACCAGGCAATTCAACATCCTCCAGTTCTCTCTCGAGCTCGTCCATATGGTCTGTTTTTCGATTTATGTCTCCACGGGCTTTCCTCCGTTCAAGAGCTGCTTTAACCTTCTCTCTGTCAATCTTTTTTATAGCATCTTGAGGTGACTGGGAAACTGTAGCGTCCTTGGGGGCCAAATTTCTGCTACTGCATATATCCTTCAGCTCCACAGTATCCCTTGTTTCAGTTTTCCCAAAACTCCCTTCTCGATCTTCATCAACGTGTTCATCAGACCCGAACTCTGATTTATTCTGGATCTCCCATTCTCGTTGATGGTGTTGGGAGACATTAATATCATCATCTCCCTTGTGATCTTGAATGCTTTTCTTTTCAATGTTTCCATAGTCATTGTCTTGAGTCTGGGTGGTTCTTGGTAGCCCACCATGATTATCTGCATGCGACGGCTCAGGAAATGGCCTCGCCAATGCTGCCTTGGAGGTTCCTGCCTTTGAAGTAGCCACCATGCCATGAGAATTACTGTGACTAGTGATGTGCTCTTCGTTCGCAGGAGCTTTTAATGGAGGTTGTTGACTGCCTCCAGCACTCCCTTCGGGTTCACTAACCTGAGAAGGTGGTACTCTATTTTGTTCGTACAATTCTAGCATCTGATTGCTGACCTCTGCAAGGAATAAAGCCTCTGGTCAAAAAGGAAATATCAATAATTAATTCACAATGAAATTATAGCATTCCTATCAACTTAATCATCCCTCGACTTCCATAAGTTTCAGTAAGAAATCAAATCTAATTCAAAACACTATCTTTTCAAAACCCATCATAGATAGGTGAGACGTAAATCATAAAAACATGATACTGATACTATACAACACCACAACCCTAATCTGTACTGCTGCCAAAGGAAGTCTAAGCACAGACCCTCCAATTGGCGTGGAGTGACGTCAAACTCCTGCCACCAAACCTTCTCACCATCAGAAGGAAGCTTTACTTTTAGGAACTTGGCAGCAAGAAAAATAGCACCTGCTGCAATGTGGTGGGGCTTAAACTGCAAGCATAGAGAAGTCCGAAGCCTGCATGCCACTTTCCAGTGTCAAAGAGGAGGAAGAATAGCCAAGGATGGGCACTATATTAGAACTACAAGAAGTAAATATATCATACCCATCATTAACAAAGTTCCATGCAACTTGAGCCAGGGCATTTTGAGCAACCTTAAATTTTTTTATAGCCTCAACAAGGGGTTTATATGGATGGAGTACATTGAGATCAAAAGCGAGAGTTCCAAGAACAACCCTCTCTCCCAGCAAAATAAGTTCTTTTTGTTGTTCATATACCTCCTGCAAAGGATACAATAATATCAAATAACTATAGTACAGTACAAGCACTATAAACATTCCATAAAGACCAAGCTCAAGTGGTATAACTATCATTCCAGATCAAAAGAGATGATAATGTAATGTACCAAAGAAAATCAGAATACACTAACTTGTCACAGACTACAATTTTTTTAGCAATAGACCTCCAGAAATAAATAAGGTCAAACACACAAGAAATAAAGGAACCAAATCCCGTAATAGTAAAGCCAATATCAGAGATAACAACAAAAAAGAAACACCACCTTTTGCTTGATCCTTTGCGCAGCTGCAGGATCTTTTTTATGAATAATTTCATATGAAACTAGTATGACATCTTTCAGAGGACGAGGAGTTTCTTCAACTTTGCCCGCAAGGAACATACATACCGTAGCAACCATCTACAAAAAGTGTGCAAGAAGTCAAGCACAAAATATCAATTTTGTTTACAGAAATTGAGGCTAAAGCAAAGTCTTAAGTTGAATACGTCTTACTAGCAATATGCCAAAAATTACTGGAAGTAAGGGTGGGACAGTTTGTCATTGAGACTAGTGATATGTCCTAGGCTATGCAAGCGGATTTTAAAATGGAACAAGAGAAAACAGAAAAAGAGAATTACAAAGAATGATGAGGAAGAAACAGAGATAAAAAGACAAGCACATAGTTGTTAAAGTTCCAAACCGTAGCTTAGAATTCCACTATCCTAAAAATGTTAGATCAAAGTTTCTATTTTGAAACTGAAAATATGTTTAGCCTTGCAATGTTATTCTAACATTATTTTCCTTCAATTGGTTTATTGACATATAAACTTCTTAATAGTAGCCTTATAATATTTTAGATCTTAAAGCTGAGGAAAAAAAATTAAAAAGAAAAAGAGGAGATAAAATAAAATGAAATAAGCCATTAAGAAATCAACACCTTAACAAAATTAAATTTATGTAGATTTACGATTCTTAAATAACGATTTTAAAATTTGTAATTTGAGTTTGTGATCTTTAATCATCCAATATCATTTTCATTCATATTTAAATTTCACACGTAACTTCATTAAATTATTTACCTACAAAACTTGAATAAAAATTTGATCTCTGTGCTCATAATATACGAAACTAGCACTGACAGAATCCTGAGTCAGAAAACTTTTAAACCTGGATATATAATTCTAGAATAAGTTTTTAATGGAAATAGAAGGAAAGGAAATGTAAAAGAAAGACCGAAAAACAAAACAAGAAGACATTGTAAGTAGAAGAACTGCAGTGCTGTGTTGCAGCTGTAGCTGGTGAGTTTCTGCTGTTAAATGAACAGTGTACACAGACCCCTATACATACATAGTAGATTTTATTCCAGCCTTTTTATTTTCACAATTCATTTCTAAACAAGTAAATCAGATTTACGTTGTTAAATCTTTTGAAAGGCATAATCGGATACTAAGGCATTTTTCCTTTACGAGGCAAAACGTAAGCCTCAAGGCAATTTGAGGCGCAAGCCTCACAGTAGACCCAAAAATGTCAAAAACTTACTCCATCCGTCCTATAAAGATAGGCTTGTTTCCATTTTCACACAAATTAAGAAAATATAAATAATATAGTTGGATATATCAATTTAACTTACATTTTTCCTAATATACCCCTATATTAAATAAAGGTTTAAATAGGAGTAATTCATATTTGTTAATAACAAGGCACATTAGAAAACTAAGATAACTATACTCTCAATTAGTAAAGTGGCCTATAATTTGGGACAAACAAAAAATAAAAGCAAGCCTATTTTTATGGGACGGAGAGAGTATTAAAATGCAAAATAAGCTCATAATTCATCATAAACGATCTTCAAAATTCATTATAGAAAAGTTAGAATTGGCAAAAAATACATATATATATATATATATATATAACTGTTATTTTAGTAGGTCGCGACGGAAGTCCAAAAGTGGGTCTATGAGAAACACCATGTTTTTAATGTTTTAGTTGGCAGTGGGCTATTCTCAAAATCTATAAACAATGATGGTGCATATAGTTTTCATTGGGGTCTTCTCTTTTCTTTGTTTTTCTCTTTTGGTTTTGGTGGAGCCTTGATGTGATGTTCACATGTTTTTGAACACTTCCTATTGAAATCAGTCATCTTCAGACAAGACAATGATAAGAGAAGATGCAAAACAACATGAAAACACAAGTGGAAGTGCAGATAAGCATACTAGAACAAGAGATGAGTTTTAGGAGTGGGTAGACCATCAAAAATAAATGTAGAAAACGAAGGTAGAACTCAAAACCGGAGTAACTTTGATCCAGGAGGATTACGTAGCCCATGGAGCTTTTTTAGGGCCAGAAATTCAGCTTTTTTGTTGGGGGTGTCAGTGATTTCGGCCAGCTAACATTACACTATATTTATGTTGTTAATACATGCTTTTGAGAAGCTGTCATTAATCCTTTAATGCAGGTTTCCCTTGAGTTTGAAGATGCAGTTCTCTCAATTCAATTCTATTGTTTCACTCCATTGAGGGAGACAGGAATATATTAATCCCAAATTACTCCAGAAAATCAAGTCCACGAGTCTACATATGGTCTGCACTCCAGTATATATTTGAGAAAACAGGACGGTGCATTGGACACTCATATTGGATTTCCAGTTCCCTTGAAAGCACACAAAGCAAGTATGCAATGCATTTAATATATCTACGATGTACTCAAATGAAATCAACCTGGATAGGAATGTGACTAGACAGAACCTCAAGATCTAATATAACAGATCAAAATCTAACATAGAGATTTTCTCTCAGTTTAGATATAACACTAAGTGTACACCATATGGCCATGCATAACATTATAAACATGACAAATTATGCGCGCATCTTCTTTAAAAATAAAAAGTCAAGAGATCAGCTTCAGAAGCCACCTTTAGGATTCCCATCTGTAAAACGCTCTGCTGTAGTAAGGCACTAACGGGGAAAAAGCAAGGCTCATATGGAAAAGTTCACAATGATTAAAAACAAAAAATTGTTTCCTAGTTTTATTGCAAAACTACAGAAAAACAAATTGTTGGTTAATTCTTTCATTTTCTAGTACTCCTGCAATTTCCCAAAACTTACTGTTGTCTGAAAGTTATTTGAAAATCATGACAAACAGGATAATCAGTTTTTCCTTTTATATTCCAGACAGGTCATAACCTGGTTTGCATAATTCCTGCAGGTAGGATGGCTCTCCTGCTAACTTGTATAGACCAGCAGTGGTGTAGTCAGTTGGAAGGGGTATGGGTTGTCCTTACTCGATTCCATCTTAGTTAGACGACACTGCACTCACGTTACAAACTTTCTAGAAAGAGTAGAGAATGTAGGAACTACTGGAGGAGGAGATACATTAAGGTTTATCAGTACGTCTAGAATAGGATTTTTGGAAGTTGATCGTTACAACTTCTATTAAGTATTTGATTGGGAGGTTCAATGGCAAAAAGAAGGTGATTCCTTGTTCAGTACAAATGAGAAATGAAAATCCATAAATTTATCCAACAAGCTCTGGAGGAGACAGTTGAAGATGAAAAACTAGTGGAATATGAGGACATGTGTTCAAGGAGTCTCAACCAGAGAAGTAAGCAGTGAATGAACAGGAAAGAATGCGGCGGCGGTGGAGACCTGACATTGACAGCGAAGTTATCAGTAATTAAAAACACAAGCTGAGAAATACAAAAGGAAAAGACGAAAAAAGGAAAGGAAACAAGGCGAAAGGGGGAAAAGAAAAAGCAGTGGCCGGAGTGGGAAGAACGGTTGCCTTGAGTTTATATCAGCATTTTGTCTTTGTTGGGTCAAATTTGTGGAGGAGGAGAGAGAAATAGATAAGAGCGATGGTTGCCAGCTTTAGTTTCCTACCAAAATAAAGAAATTTTATGCTAGATTTTAGTTAGATGGCAAAAATATCCTACTTAATTGGGTGCATGCAACTATTATCATGCTACGTGGTCACCGAGTCTCTGTCAGCATCAGACTATGAGATTTATTAGCTATCGACGATATAAATAAGAAGTGAAAGAAAATACTTACCCTCCTATCATTTTTTGCGTGGGATTGAAGATGGAAGAAACGATGACAAAAAATTATTGCTGTAGCAATGGTTACCTGAGGCCTGCAAAGCATCCAGCATTGTACTGAGGAAAACAATTGAATAGCTAAAGTGCAGCAAAAAATTACTGAAGGGATGTTGAAGGATAGATGAATATATTTTGACATCATATTTCGATGGAGTTTGATATGTTTTTTTTTTTTTTGATAGGTGATGGAGTTTGATATGTTAGATATATAAAATTCTGAACATACAAGCAGGCTTGTTTTACAATGACTAATACAGCATAAATTTACATACTGTCCCTTATCTTTCTTACTTTTTTGGATCGACTGATACAGCATAATTCACATGCTGTCAACTCTGGGTTTTCCTTTTGGTCCACTTATCATCCATATTATAATACTTATGTACATGATGGTGCACGTTGAGCAAATTTTAAACATGAGTATTTCTCAACATGTCTCTAACATGGAAGGTCCATCATTTCTTAACATAATAGGAAGTAAACCAAAACTTCAAGACGTACTAATAGTGAAATTCTAAAGCTGTTACAGATAATCATAATAATAGAAATCGCAGCTCAGAAATTGATACGCCAAACAATGCAAAATATTAAATCCATACAAGGGAGACAGATAAAATGGAAGTAAATCATATACCATCCAAGCAAGAAAGCTTACACTTTCAGCCTCATGCCTAAGTCTTGTAAAAAGGTACAGTATGACTTGCGTAGGTAAGTCTCTTTCTTCAAATCAATGCCATCACGTCTAGAAGGAGAATTTTCTTCAATTTCCTTCCTAGAGAAATACCAGCGGTCACCACCTTCTTGTGGGTTGTCCACATAAATCCTATGATTTGTGTCATTGACTCCATGACGAGAAGGCTCAGCAGACAACAAACTGGCCATTTCTAACTCCTTTGTCCCACCAAAAGATATCAAAGATTGATAGACAAGGTCACTAAAGGTAACATATGTTCACACATCATCCATCAACATCCTGCCAGCAAACTAACATTAAAGGCAAAAATCAGCATCCTCAAAATAATTTGCCACAGTTTTTGCTTAGTAATGAAATTACCGGAATAATTGGTAAATTAAATGGAGAGGTAAAAGAGAAGTTTGACAACCATTTATGCTATCACTTCCCTATGTCCACAACGTTTGACTGTAACAGCACAACTAGTAAAGGTGACATTCTTTATTTCTTCAGAAATAACAATTTCCTCATCCCAAGGACTTTGCCACCTTCCTTTTCTAGTCAATTTCCTACCTATGAAACACCGACAAGCTCCCGGCACTGGCGAGTCAGTTTCTGACTTGTTCAGGACACTAACACACTCTGACAAGCTGCTGACAAGTGTCAGGAATACTGGGTGACATGCCCAATTTCTTTTTGTTTCTCTACCGCTGGACATGTTGTCAACACACCGCAGTGAAGAGANCTATCTCAATATATGAATGAAAATCGTGAACTAAGAAGCACAATAATGGCGCACTTCTTCATCTTCTCCCTTCCCGCAGTTTTTTTTTTCAAAGGCACCATGTTTTAGACTTTTGTATTTCTTCCTTTTTTTTTGGGAAGCCTAGTTAAAGAAATGAGCCTTTTATTATTTGAGTTGCACATTTTACAACACCTAATGGATTGGTCAACTGGGTGCAAAAAGTCTTCTACTTCAAAAGTTCCCTTTTAACCAATTAAAATAAAGAAATTACCTTTATGTCCTAAAAAGGACCATCCCTTTAAAATGAAAAAGCTTTCACAGAAAGCTATACAATCTATTTGCATTCACAAGTACTTCCCATAAATCCTTCAGTTATATTATTCCAAGAATGGTGTTTGAAAAATATTCTTTTAGTCAAGTCGATGACGTGTCATATCAATACTTCTATAAAAAATAGTGAATCGGCATGTCCGGTACTTAATAGATTCCTATTGATAATACTAATCTTTATGCAGAGCATACCAATTTTTTCTTCAAAGATATCAATTTTACTATCTCACGATAAATTCTCCTTCCACCTTCCACCATTCAAATTGCTTTTCAATTACTGCCAGTTTATTTGTCAAATATGTTATACCAGTTTTCAGCATTGCATGCCGTATTGCCCCTGTTTGAGCCCCATTCTTTAAAAATTCATTTATCTCCAAACTCGTTTTCAATCACACATTCTCCCATTAGAATAATTTTACACGTAAACTCGAAATTTTTCCTTTTTAACCACACTTTATCCCAAAAAAATCACCATTACAAAATCTACTTTTCCAAAAAATGATGTTCAAACAAACCCATTATATAGATACTCTTCGTGCATCCTAAAAACACCATAAATTACACATATTCCACATCTCAAATACTTCTCTCTCTCTGCTAATATTTAATTCAATCAAAACAGCTTGTTAATATTATCAGTAAACAATATACTCAAAGAAACTACATCTCAAATTCAAAGACTAAAAAGTAAATGGAAGCATTACTAATCATCAGTTAACCTACTTAATCAAAATTACAAGATAGTACTTACATTTGAGCTAAAACTCTATTAGAACCACAACAACATTTTTTCCTTCAGATTTCAGTCCGCATATTTTTCCACACCATCTTGGTGCATCCTTCAATATTCTATCCCTTTCTGTCATTCAATAGATCTATCTATCTGGTCTGTTACGGTAAAGTACAATACGAGATGGTGGAATTCAATGGGATAGATAGTAGAGGGCTGCCTATGCCCAAATTACTTCCATAGTTGGTGTTCCAAGTAGGTTCTAACTTCTATGTGCAGGTATTCAACTACTCTCACCTAAAACTTCATCCTGTGATTTATTGATATGATAACACAGTTATTCTCCACAAGTTTAAACCTCCCCCTTTTCATTAAAGAACAAGTTCAAACCTCCCCCTTTCCAATAAAGATTACATATGATCTGCTTCTATCAGTTATCTAGTGTTTCTGAGTTGGGATTCATAATTTAAAATAATCTAATTAGATAATTTTATTAGACAAGATGCAAACAGAAGAAAAGAAAGAAAAGTTGTGTCACGTGTTATTGAGCAAAACAAAGGACGCCTTGATGAGTTTGTATCAGCAATTGGAGTTCTTGAATAGAATTAAATACCAAAGACAGAAGTTTCGTAAAGAAGGTTAATCATCTTATTTGTAAAAATAAAATTTGATATTACTAGGCTCCTAAAGCTTCTAATCCAAATCAAATGAGAGAGCAACCAACGTAAAAAGATCTAAACATAGGAAAAACTACAAAATTAGGATCAAATTAATTGAAAGTATGATCTTTCTGCTAAACAGTGTAAGTGGCGAACTCTGATAACAACTCAATGAGAACACCTTTAACTTGTTCTCCCAATCACTATTGCACAAACAACCCAATGAGATTTGAACTTTTCCAGCAGTAGTTCTCCTTAGATTGGAGGAAAACTGAGCATCAAGGTTCAAATTTCAATCTACAGCTATCCAACAAGCCTTTCCAACTTGATGAAGTAAAATCCATACTTTAAAAAAAATGTTCTCTATAAAATCTAATAACCTAAAGCTTGTTTTGTCTTATTTCCTTGCTTATTAAAGAATTATTAATAAATTTGCTTTATTAGTTGTTTCAGCGTCAATTTTACTAGTCTGTTCTTATACTAGGATTTTGTTACTTTTAGTTCCATTTGATCGCGACTTGAGGATATTCTACTGAAAGAACTCAGCATGTTGGTGCTTCAAAATAATAGCAAGATCTCATAATAATTTTAATAACAAGATCAATATTTGGTTTACATAATTTTCTATGAATGATTAAACTCAAAAAACAACCCTTTTAGAATGCATATCCTTTTTTACTCCCAAAAATAGAAGTTCTCAGCAATAACTCTAAAACAATTTTGCAAGGCATTTTCTTGGTTGCACCGCAGAGAAACTAAGACATCAACAAGTATTTTAGTAGCTTCTGCTGCCCAAACTTCAACTTGCATCAAAGATTTTCCAATCTTTGTAAAACAAGATAACTCCAACGCCAAAAAAGAAACAATTTGACCTATGTTAATTAAGATTTATATAATTGATAATGCCTTTTTCACATATATTTTGCTAATTTAATTGGTCAGCCAAACCGCAGAGGAAGGTATTACTCATGCCTAAGTTTCTACACTGGATGGTAACTTCTACAATCAGGAAGGTTGATTAATTGTTATTTATTCCCTACTATAAGTATCTATGTTCTTGCCTTTTCCCAAAGTTCGTCATGTGGTTGAAACTATTAAATTTGCAGCATTTATTCCACCACAATCCAGCAGGACCTAATTTCAGTTCACTTTTTCCCATTCAATGCTTTCAAAAGGGATCGAAGAGTACGTCCTAGTGTTTAGGGCTTTCAAAGCTTATACTTTGAATGACCCTTCTCAAATCTTAAGTCTTGACTTAATGAAGCGTACAGAGCATAAGCACCAATGCAACTGAGGCATGCACTCCTCAGTCTTGCCCCTTTCTGGACTGGTTTTATACCAACCAACAATTTATAGGTCGCTTTTTACTAGATATCCAATAAAATTTTGGGCGTTATCTGGGCTGTCATAATTTCATAAATGCACCCCAACCCTTAAAAGTAAGACAAACTAAAGACTAGAAAAGAGCACATACATGCCCCAATCCTGACTCCTACAACTTAAATGCAAACCCCCAAACTCCAAAGAGTGATGTTGCAGCCTTTTGGCAACGAAAGACCATTGACAGGATATCGACAACAAGTATTTCATGCTTCTACTCTATTTATCTTACTGTTGTGTCCATATTTCTATGTTCTCTACTCTAAAAGTCACTTTTCTTCTAACGGCAAAAGAAACAAAATTCTTGCAAACTAAAACTTATTTCATTTATCTTAATCGTTTAGTTCCGGCTGTGGACTAGTTGTTTTATCATGTGCTGACTAAGAGCATTTTTGGGAAGTGTTTATAAATGATTTAGATTATAAATTAATAAATGAGTGGTGGATAAGTGAATAGTAGTTGTGAATGGCTTGAGTGGTTATAAACCTGAGCCAAACATAGGCTAAATTTGTTTGTTTATTTTTTACTACTTTGTCGATCCATTTTATGTTTCAAGTTGCAAATTAGACTTAAATGTGTTCAAATGTTCTATTATGCAGGTTTTACATAGCCTATGGCTATTAAGAGTATTATTTTGTATCTCATAAATTTTCAGATTGAAGCTTATGCACCTGGAGCACCTCCAGGTTCATGGCTCATCTAACGGATTTACCTTAATCTACTTAGCCTTTCTAAACATGGTTCCAGTGCACCACTAACTAAATCCCAAATTTATTTCAATATTTCAACAAATTTTCTTCTTTGTAATGATATCTAAAAGTTTTTCAAAATACGATAACATAATCAGGATGAAGACCCGATTTTTGTTCAAATTTTTACTTGGCTAACAGTTACCAGCACAAGTTAGAACTAGCAAGGTGAAACTGTAATTAACCTCTGAGGTAATACACAGGTGGATAATTAAAGTAGGCAAGCTTTAATCAATTCAATAAATTCCAGTAAAAGTGCAAGTAAAAGATCAAAAAGATTAAATGCCCATTATATTTCTCGTGGAAAAGTAAAGTAGCAAGGCTTCAAATCGAGAAACTCACATGGACAGCCAAGAAACTGAAATCGGTATTACTCGCAGAGATGATGTCTTCTTCTTGAATATCTTGTCCGAATTCTCGAGTCTCAAAGCTAATTAAAAGCCTAAACGCAAACCCACCGGGTAATACATACAAATTTCGTGAGGGCTCGTCGGAGAAATGATTACCCAGGGAAGTTTGAAGCTATAGAGACGAGAAATTGCGAACGGGTTGCTGTGGGCGACGGAGGTGGTGAGGATCCACTACATAGAGATGGATAGAGAGGGGCTCAACCGCC